AGGTTGTACTTGTTGGGCACAAGGGTCTCAGGGCAATGGCCCCCCTCTCTGGTGGCAGTTCCAGTCATTCAGTGAGCCCCCAAATTAAAGCCCACATGCCACTGATCTAGCCTTATCACTAGTTCGAATTCTGGTGACCCTAGAAACCACTGAAAAACTATAAGCTTTTCACAAGGGAAACACATCTGATCCAATATGTATCTGTAAAGGTCACTGCATCAGCCCTTTGGTGTATAAATGCTAAGTCACTACACGTTTCCTGTACGGGAGTGACTAAGGCGATTCTCTCCTTCCAATTCCAAAGCACATATGCCTCCCCACTGGACCGCAGTGGGACGAAAAAGGGAGGAACGCATGCAAGTTGCAGGGTTCCTTCTACTGCTACGAGCACAAATTGCTGCTCCCACAAGACATAATGCCAACCTTCCCACCACTCTCGCCCTGGCACCATCGCCCACCTTTCACTCTCTCCCAAGAGAGGATGCTGATGTCTTGCTTCGGATGCCTTTCAAGAGCTCTTCCTGAGCCCTCAGAGTCAACCACCAAACTGAGCAGCCTGGGGCAGCAGGAGGTGGATAAGCTGGGTTTCCAGAGGGAAAAAAATGGTTGTGTCCCAGGAAGAATTACGAGGACACGATGCAAGGAGCAGAAAAGACTTAATCAGTAAAGGCATCTCAACCACGGATGCCGTGATGACTCGGAGATAGATCCCAGGAAGTGTGTGACAACTCGGCCTCCCTACAGAAATGCTGGGCCCGACACTCAACAAGCTCCCATCGGACCCCGGTCACAGGGCGTTACTCAAACTCTGCGTAGAGATGCAAAGCTGAGCAGCACACAGGGCGGGACGGAAGAGCAGAACGTTCACCCGCCTCGCTCGGCTTCCGGGAAAGCTGCTCTGGGTGGGGAGCGGCCACGCCGGGAAGAAGTCTGCCACAACCACACGGGAGGGGCTGCCCAGTGCGGTCATGTTTCAGGAGACGCTGTCCCTGCCCTTATCATATGCCAGGGGAAGAAGGAAGGCATTAACAAGAAAAGATCGCTCTGGTTTTCTAGGTGACTAAATACCTAACCAAATTCAACTGCTATAAAACCCATAAAAAGGTGAATACCCTCTGCTTAGATTTAGGTCCCTGTCTTGGCTTTTGTCAGTTCTAGGCTTCCAGGGTAACTGCTTTTACTCACAAGCTTTTCATCTCTAGTTTTGTGAGGCAAATACTCCTTTCGTGGGTAACATGTCTCCCAGACTCGTCTGGTGTCGAGTCACATGAAATGAAACTTCTCAGTCTTAAAATGATCCTGCAGGACAAATTTTGATAGATCTCTTACTGTCCAATAGTGTCAAAAACAGTAGTCCCCGCTGGGCTTTGTAATAAAATACTGATTCACATTTACTTAGAACATGATGCCTTTTTTTAAAAAAACTATTATCAGTTTTACTATTATCTACTCAGACTGTAACTATCATTCTCCTAAGATGTACGCATCATTTAAAAAAAGTCAGTACGAGGAGTCTAAGGGAAAGAACAACTTTCAAATCATCCACCAAAAACAATCATTAAACAACTCCAACAACCTGTCAGATTTCCCCTCTTAGACAGTTTGCCAAAGGGGAACACGCTTTAAGGGGTAGCATGAGCCTTCTTCAGGCTCATTATGGTTACAAGCAGAACCAAACTTACACAAACACAGCCAGAGCAGAAAGCCAGGATACACAGTGACTTCTGGGGTGACCCCCTCCTCACTCTGAATGCTTGTCGAAATCCCACCATTAGCTGTCCCACATTTTAGCTCAAGGTTTTCAAGCCAGGTAGAAGGCAGATTTTCCTTGGAGAGAATTTACACATTAGCGTTGCTGAGGAATGTGAACACAGTTTTTATGTGCAACCACATGTGGGAGGACGTACTGCTTTCCAGAGAGTGGGATGTGGGGTGGGAGTAAGGCTTTATAAACCACAGCTCTGCTGCCCACATCTCTCAGATACTCCGGCACACTAGTGAACGTGGGAAAGGCGATAGAAAACTCGAAGTAGCTACAAAAAAACATTCTATTCTAATGTCAGAGGCTGAATTCTTGAATAGCCTGGGGACATTCTGAATACAAGTGTGCTTTAGAATTTCGGGAAGTTTCAGGGAGTCTTTGTGAGGCCGGCAAAAGAAGTGGGAAGACACTCAGCATTTGGTTTCAACCAGATTAAATCCTTCAAAAAGATAAAGAGAGATCTTTTCGTGGCTCTAATCGTGCCTGCTGACTAAAAGTTCATCGTAGTTGTCTGACAAACGACTGGCCAAGAAGATCAATGAGAAGGATGTATCAAGAAAGACAGAAATCAACCTTGGCTTTGGTTGCTCTGGAAGATAGAGATTTGAAGTCAAATCACTCTCATGCAGAGAATCAAAGAGAAAACTCTGCAACCAGCAAGGAAAACTCCCAGAGGAGTGTCCTCAAAAGTGAGAAAGCACCGATCCAGCCCCATCGCTGCCACCTTAAAAGGGCACTATGTCTGTGAGTCCATTTCTGGTCTGTAAATAAGTTCTTTGGTATCATTTTTCTTTTTGATTCCACATGTAAGTGATATTATGTGATATTTGTCTTTGTCTGACTTACTTCACTTAATATGATAATCTCTAGGTCCATCCATGTTGCTGCAAATGGCATTATTTTATTCTTTTTTATGGTTGAGTAATATTCCACACATACATACACACACATACACTCCCCCCTCATTATCTTCTTTATCCAGTCATCTCTTGATGGACATTTAGGCTGTTTCCATGTCTTGGCTATTGTAAATAGTGCTGCTATGAACATTGGGGTGGATGTATCTTTTCGAATTGGAGTTTTCTCTGGATATATGCCCAGGATACTAATGAATTTACCTGCAAATCAGAAACAAACCCACAGACATAGAAAATAAACTATGTTTACCAAAGGGGAAAGGGGGGAGGGATACATTAGGAGTTTGGGATTAACAGATACACACTACTCGATATAAAACAGATAAATAACAAGGACCTACTGTATAGCACAGGGAACTAGATTCAATATATTGTAATAACCTAAAAATGGAAAAGAATCTGAAAAATAATATATATAACTGAATCACTTTGCTGTACACCTGAAATTAACACAACACTGTAAATCAATTATACTTCAATAAAAATTTGTTTTTAAAAGATAAGAAAAAGGGCATGGCTCACTCCTTCACAGAGGTCCCCTTCCTTGCCTTGTCCTGTGTACCTTCCCCTTTCACTAGAAACCACCATTCACAAATAAGCTCCTGGTCTTTCAGGCTTCCTGCCTTTCCTGAGTGTCACACAGTATACTGTCTACAGAAGAACTTGCCATAACCCGATGCTGGTGTTTTGCTGGCAGGCCACTTAACTTGCCACCATCACTATGAACTCCTGGTTCCTAACAACTATGGTTCGGTGTACACAGCTCTCTCCATGTCCCTGCCAGAATGGAGGGGGTCTGACTCTTACATTGCTTCACCCTGCAGGTGTTCTTTATCTCATGGAATATGGACACTTCTTGGAGCGGGTAGTTCTCAGTGTATCAAAACTGTATGGGGGGGAGGGTACAGCTCAGTGGTAGAGCACATGCTCAGCACGCATGAGGTCATGGGTTTAATCCCCAGTACCTCTATTAAATATAAAATAATAATCAATCAATCAATCAATCAATCAGTAAACCTAATCACTTCGCTTCCAAGAAAACAAACAGACAGTAAAACTGTATATAATAGGTCATTTTACACTAACTAGGAAGCTTTCCATTAAAAGAGCAATTTCGACAAAATTAAGGCCCTTTTGGTATTGGTCATAATTACTTAACTCGGCAATTTTGCTAGTCTTTACTAATTCTCACTTTTCAAGAACTCTTCAAACAGAATATATGCTATTTGACACATAAAGTAAACTTCTTAGTTTCTAGGCTACTGATTTGGGGATTTCTGGTGGTATTTTGAAACATCACAAAAACTACTTGGTCATATGAAGTCAGTTTCAATACAACACAACCCAAGCGAATTCAACTGAGGCATGAATCATTTCCTCTAAAATGCAAAACGACATATAAATGGACCAGCTGAAGACTTCTCAAGGACATGGGACAACATCTTGGAAGATTTTCCTACCTCAAAATTTTGCATACAATCTTCTTAATTAAATTGCATGGATTTTTTTTATTTGTTAAATAAAACTTATGAGACAGAGGACTACATGCTGAACAATCATGCTCTCATAAATCCCCTAAGAAAGCTATTATTGGTTGAGATACAGTTCTCTGAACTGTGTTCCAGATCTCCAAGTAAGATATTTTTCATCAAGTTCTGGACTATAATAGATGGCCTTTGAGAAGGCATCGCTGGTCTGGCAGAGTCCGTTCTAAAGCTGATAATTTGATAATTCCAAATGATAGAAAATTGGACTGGGGAGGGCAGTGGGGGTGGGAAATGAGGGGTAGGAAAGGGGTTTACAAAGCAGAAAGCGCCTATCAAAGTAACATTTAAACTTTCCAAACAGACTTTTGTATCATTTGGACTTCACGGTGAGACACAAAAAATCAACTGTGTATAGTATGTTCTTAGGAGATTTTTGATATGTGATTGAATCAAAAAGAAAACTCTTTTCTTGTAAGTGATTCCTTATAATTTTAAATCCTTAATTCCTCCAGAAACATATTGTTTACGAGCAGTGCTTTTATTCTGCTATTTTCTGAACTTTATATGAGTCACCATTTAGTGAAACAAAAATCTTATTACTATGAAAGGACATGGCAGGCTGGTTTTCTTCCCTGTGAATTCGATCCATCCTCTTTGACAAGCAGAATGATTAATGTTGTTGCAACCACATTCCTACTGCCTGTCTTTCATCATACCCCCTGGGTTGATAGGATTAAATGAGGCAGTAATATTACATAATCACATCATTTTAGGGGATAATTCCCTCCTTTAACCAGTAACTAATTTAAACCTTTTAAGGGGATAAACTTCTACCTTTGAAGAAGATCTTCTGACCCGAAGAAGTTGTTCTTCCTTTTACTTCTTTAAACCAAAAGTCTTCTTAGCATTGCTCTGTGGGTTGAAGAGTAGGGGAAATGTTAACAAGACGTTCATCATCCATCATGGTAGATCGACAATATATTAACTCCAACCGACTCCCTGATGGGAAACACAATTACAAGGGGGAGCCCTTGCAAGGAAAGACCAATTATGAATAGATTTGCCAAAACACATCTCTGCTGGTTTCAATCAAAACTGGCAGCAGAGAGGTGACTAAAACTCTGGTGGCCATCGCTTTAATGGGTCCTAGCCAAAAGAGTCATGTCCAGTTCCTTTCTTCAGTTTATGGGGGGTTTAGGTAATGCATGGGGACAGCGTGGTGCAAATACTTCCTTGTTGTGGTATTACCATCTTTATTATTATTTAAATGTTTTATTTAGTAGAGGGGGAATTGTTTCGACTTATGTTCATTTGAAAGACCTCAAGTTTTCAACGAAGGTCCTAAAGAGATGACGCGGGTGCAGCCAAAAGCAGAGAAGACCCACCTGGGCTTTGACAAAGGCCAGCTAGGGAAAACCCCAGAGCCCCATCCTCTGCAACCCTCCTCCCCTCAGCCTGAATGTTTCCTTTGCAAATATTCCAGCTGAGAATTAGCCAGAAAAGGACAGCATGGACGGGGAGGACCACAATCCCAGCTGAGCACATTCGGTCTCATATTTTTTAGGCAACCAATTCAGGGACATCCATGGTCTTCTAAGGGAGGATTTGTGGCTTTTGGGACTTTGGACTTTTGGAAACAGAAGTCATACTATCAACCTCTGAAAAACCTCTCAGAGAAGCGAAACAAGTGTCAATTCAGGAACTCCTGGCTGCACTCAAATATTGAGACAACTATGAATTGCAAAG